TATATAATATATATATTTATATATATGTATTAAAAACTATGTTGATGGCGTAAGATACAAGCAAGCGCAGACATCACACGTACATAGTCCTTTCAGATATGATGTCTTCTGCAGCAGCAGGTGAAACTCTGTCAGCTTGCTTGATGCATGATGCACAGTAAATTCGCAGACCTGAATGCCAAATATCAGTGATTAAACTGTATGCTTTAGCTCGATGCAAGAGATATTGCATATTTTCCCCAACTGTTATGAGCTTTGGGAAACATGTGTCAAACAAACTATAAAATGAAATTGTCTTTCTAATGTCTACAGGATTTGGTGAGCATTATGTTTTCAAAGCACTGCCTTTCCTTTTGTAATGAGTACAGATTTAGTCTACCATAGCTTTATGTTAGAGTAGATTTCCCAGTGCTTACATTATATATATGTGTATTATGCACACACACACATATATAGATACATACTTCATATTCAGACTTTATTTCATTAAAATAAATTAAACATACTTCCTTTTTAACTGGGCACAAAATGAGAGCTACATCTTCATACACAAATAAGAAAGAAATGCTCTTCAAGCATATTAAATGCTTAATTTTTAATTATTTGCTTTCTATAAGAAATCTATAGGACTTTGGCTATTCAGACTTAAAAGGTAGATTTTTAATGATACTTTTGAATTTGGCTTTCAAAAGTGACTCAATAAAATGCTACTTTAAAGGTAGGACTAAATAGATGATATAAGGTGTGTGTCGTGAGTGATCACACAAGGCAGACAGAGGGCCTTTGGTTACAAGGAGAGTTGCACCAGTTGATTATCAGTTAAAAAATGATAGAATTGTTGATCTATACATTTTTGTCAGTGCCATCTATAAACCAAATACATTAATTTGGATGAGAGTGTGGTAAATACTACACTATATGGCTATATTTAAATACGTTCACTTTTGTGATATGTAAAATATGACTTTTTTTTCCACATGAAAGCATCAGCTCTAAAAATATTTAACTTGGAATTCACTATTACTTAACTTTATCAAAAAAAATTTCCCTGATTTTTCCTTGTTTTACGTTTGTGCTGATGGCAGACATGAATGATCACTGAAACATAGAGATTATGTTAAGACTGTTCTCTTTAAGATTTCTCATTGCTGCTCTATGGCTTCGGAAAGCCACAGAATAAATCGGTATTTAAAGCTTATCTGCTGGAAAGTCACTTTACTTTCTTCGTGACAACTCAATCTTAACTAGTATCTCAGCAATACATCGGTTCCTCTAAGTACACTTGTATTTACTATGGCCAAATCCTAAAGTCCTTCACCAGGCAAAGAGCCCACTCAGAGGAACGGTGGTTTTGGCTGAGGGAAGGCAGAGTAAAAGCTAACGAACCTCAGGAATTGGCTCTGCGTAAATACTCTGAAGAGTATCACTTGCACACATAGGTGCCTTGAACTCACTTTGAGTACCTCCTGTGTCACTCTTTGCATGGCATGAGGTCTCTTTCTCTGCCAGTGGGCCAATTCCTGAGGTGGTGGCTCAGGTCTTACTTGCACCTTCCCCAGCGTCTCGCCTTGCTGGGACACAAGGGCGACTTCTGAGCAGGTACCTTGGGCTGTGTCCCACCACCCGGGGATGGGGTCGGCTGAGCAGAGCAGAGTTAACGCCAATGTGTGTACAGTTTTGTGCCAAGGAGAGACCTAACAAAGCTATCACTGTAACCCATGATAGTTCCTAAAACATATATGTGCTTATTGCTTTTGTCCGTACATGCTGCATTCACTATTACGGATTACAGACAGAAGTACTGTACAGCTTGGACGGACAGACATTTACATTCAGGACTAACCAACGGCTTTTGTTTTTACAATAGGTAGGAACAAAATGCAGTGGACTCGAGAGGCTCAGGGTCTTCCTCTCGCCTGTGCGCCTCCGCTCCCACGTCCCGTGTCTCAGCATGTCCCTGGACCTGCTGCGTGCAGATTGTTACACGCCCCGGCAGGTACTCAGAGACAGGTCAGGAAACGCTCATTGACAGAGTTATTTACAGTTGAGTTTTTACAGTAGAAACAGAGAACAACATAAAGGATTACCATCACAGTTATCACAGGACAGGTTGTGACTTGCTACAGGCGTGTAACAAATCACGGTCACAACAGGAGGCACAAATTAAAATAGTGCTTGGTTAAAGTGCTTGATTGTTACACTCTGCTATCCTACTCCAGCATCGCAACAACAACAACAGAAAGTCAACGTAAAGTGCTCTTCCCCGCCCCCCCGAGATTAAAAACCAAAGACAAATTATTTCCTACACAATTTGACATAACTTTATTGAAACAATAATGTTTTAAAAACCTAGGCTGGTGGCTGCTAGTTCTGTTCATTTAAAATGGTCAGATCTCTTTTTTTTTTCTTTTTCTTTTTTTTTTTTCTTTTCTTGTTTCACTTAAAAATGGCTGGATGTTATTAAAACATCAGGCCTGATTCTCCTGTCTCTCGCAGCTGCTTTGTGCCACAGCTTCACAGGAGCCTCTCCTGCCCGACCTCCTCATGAGAGAGAGCACAGCCAGGCGCAGGGCGGGTCACTAACGAATCCCTCTATTTGCATATTTATGTTACACTTGCATATCTTTCACTGCGCCACTTGGGCGCAAAAAGCTTCAAACCGACCGGTTCCTCTCCTACGCCAAGGGCGAGCCTTTGGCTGACGCCTGGAGTCAGCGTGCCGGCAGGAAGGGGGGG